TCTGTCTGTTCTGGGATGAGACAGAGAAAACACCCCCAAAAGAAATTCTGGAGGAATCAGTGGGGAGAACACCATAAACAGGCAGAGGTAGTCCACACCATGCACACCTGAGGTGCCACTCACCTGTGAGTCCCAGCAGCAGGGATGGCAGAGGTGGGCAGGGCGAGGAGGCAGGGACAGGCATCATTGTGGCCCTTGGAGCCTGCTCTGTCTCACTGTGGTTCTGGAGAGGCCCAGGACTCTGTGCTCTGAGGAGAGAGGACAGTTCTTCCTGCCATGAGGTCAGAGGAATGGGACTGTGATGAGAGGGAAGACTGTGGGACTGTGATACATTTTTTGTGATTATAAATTGGAGAGACAATGTGGCTACAGGCTCAGAAGTTGCTGCTGGAAATGTCCGGGGTCCAGAATGGAGGGACACAACTTCTGCAGGTTAGTGCTTCTTCTTGAGCCTCCTTCCGTCTGAGCTTCTCCCCAACCCCATAGTCTTTGCCTATCTAGGAGCCCCAGTGATGTGTCTCGGCCAGGGGCTTCTGGAACCTCGTGATGGGCTGATGTGTTCCAGCTACTACGTGAACCCAACATCTGAGCCTCACTGAGCTGCACAGCTGCAGGAAGGAGGCTGGATCTCTATGGCCTCACTCTCTTGGAAATAGAGTTGAACCTTGCAAGAGACCATTACCCCCACTCCAGAGGTGTCAGAGGTAAAAATGAGTCCTGATGCAACGTCTGCTGTGAGCTCTTGGGTTTGCTATGGATGCCTGCATACAATACAGGAAGATGCCTCTTTGTCCTTCCTGCAGAGGAATTGTGTTTGACTGGGAATGAGGTTAGAGTTTTGGAGATGGTGATGTTTTGTACTTTAGAGGAAAGAGGGGCCCTCCAGGGAAGGTGGGCCTCGGAGAAGTCTCTCCAAAAGGGAAAGCAACACACCGGGAAATACACCTGGTTAGGTGATGGCTGCCTCTCCTGTCTGTGCTGCGTCAGGAGCCAGGTTTAGAAGAAGAGTGGAGGGGCAGAAGAAACACTCTCAGAAAGAGAGAGGAACCAGCATGTGGACCTCCTTCTTTTTCACCTCTGTAATGGACTCTACCCAAGCACAAATGTTGTCTAAAAGGACTCTCAGCCCACATTGGTCTGGTGACCCTTTAATGTCCAAGCCTCCATAGCCAGGAACTGACTGCTATGGCCATTTCCCCATTGCTTCCTTGTGACCCCTGCCTCTTCCTCAGAACCAACTGGATGTCAAGATACAATCTAGGTTCAAATCTTAAATCCATTCCCTGGTAGCTTAGTAATCCTGAGCCCATCATGTAGACCTATATACACTTTGACCTTGAAATATTCATTTGTATGCCTCAAATATTGAAAACTGAGT